TAACTTAAACTAACCAGTTTCTCTTTATCTGCTTTTTTGCCTCAGGGCTTTTTTACCTTTTTTACTTTCTTTCTGTATATCTTACTTTGACTGCTTCTCCCGCCTGGCTGGCAGCAGCTGCCTGGCTTCTTGCTCCAGGTGACTCCCTCATTCTCTCCTATCCTCTCTCGTTTCTCTTTTCTAGATTTCTCCTCCTGTTTATTCTTTCTGCCTTTATTAGACAGGCAATGTGAAACAAATGCAACATATCTTTACATAATTTAAACACACATTCTTACATCGTTAAACAAATGCAGTATAAACAAATGTAACACATCTTTGGACAGTTAATATTCCACAACACAGAAATACATGTCGTACATTCACATAGACATAGACATAGAAACACACACACACACACACACACACACACACACACACACACACACACGAAAAGTAAGTTTTAATTAAAAATTGACTTCAGTCTTGCCATCAGGGAAGAGTGCCAACTATACTTCAATATTTAAGATTCTTATTCAACAGTAGCTCTTGATTTCTAGAAACACAGATTCCCATAAGACATGTGATATCCAATTTTTTAAAGGAAGTAAACTCTTAAAATGTATTATCAGACCACCTGTTGTATATGAGATACTACTGATCGTATTTGAATGCTAAATTATTTGTAAACATGCAAAACATTCCCATCATCATTTTGTTGCTGAAGAATGAAATTTATTTCTGTAACTCCAGAATATTATTAATTATTAAAGACAGATCTTACTTTAAACGAACCAGTTAGAGAAAATCTGTATGTGCTACCATTCACTACATTTATCACACTAACAAACCATTGTTTCAAATTTTTTTACAAGAAGATTATGATTTGTTAAATGTAAATTCTGTCATAATGCAAGGCATATAATCCTTCCACTCCACTATTCTTCTGTCTTTTATGACTGCATGTTCTATCTCTGCTTCTTTGGGAGTTCCTCCCCTCCCACTTAGTTCCTTACTTGATCTAACCTCTATAGTTGTACAGATTTTGGCATGCCTATCAAATGCTAATAATCTAACATCCTCATATAAGCAAACACGTGTAGTATTTCTCTTTGTTTTGTGTCTGGGCTACCTCACTCAGAATGACTTTTTCCAGCTCCATCTATTTACCTGTAAATTTCTTGTTGTTGTTTTATATATGAATAATATTCCATTGTGTAAATTATCCACTCATCAATTGCAGACATCTGGGTTATAAGTGCCTGGCTATGATGAATAGAGAAGTAACGAACATGAAGGAAAAATTATCTTTGTTGTAGGCTGTAGGATCCTTTTTGTATATGTCCAACAGTGGTATAGCTGAATCTTGAAGTAGATCTATCCCCAGGTTCCTGAAGAACTACCACACTGATATCCATAGTGGCTATAGAATTTGTACTCTCACCAGCAAAAAAAGGGTTCCCCTTTCCTCATATCCTCAACAGTATGAGTTGACACTTGTTTTCTTAATCTTGGTTACTCTGAATTGTGTAGGATAGTTGTAATTTGCATTTCCCTGATAGTATAATGTAGTTCAATTTTGCATGTCCTTGCTAACTAAGAATGTTGAACATTTTAATTGTTTACAAACCATTTGTGTTTCACCTTCTGATAAAACTGTTCAGTTCTGGATCCCATCTTTAAAATTGATTAATTTGTTTACTTAGATTCAGGTATTTTTTAGTTTTTTAAAAAATATTTTAAAAAGTAACCCTCTATTAGATGTGTAATTGGTAAAGATCTTCTGTTCTGTAGCCTGCTGCTCTGCTAAAATTGTGGTGTCCTTTGCCATACGGAAGCTCTTCAGATTCATGAGGTCGAATTTTCTTGGCCTTCCTACCTGTGTTATTAGTATGCTGTTTAGAAATGCTTTTCTTGTGTCAGTGAGTTCCAAATTATTATTCCCCACTGCCTCTTCTATCAGATGCAAGTTCTTGGACCTTTTTTTGAGATCCTTGATCCACTGGGAGTTGAGTTTTATGCAAGATGACAAATATAGATCAATGTGCATAGATATGGATCTTTCATTCATCTACATGCAACCATCTAGTTTGGACAGCACCCTTTGGAGAAGATGCTTTCTTTTCTCTAATGTGAATTTCTGTCTTCTTTCTAAAAAATAAAAATCATGTGTCCATCACTGTGTGCACTTATGTTTGAATCTCTAATTGAATTCCATTGATCAATGTATGTGCTTTGTATGGCAATATCATGCTGTCTTTACAGCTCTGTAGTACAACTTGAAGTCAGGGATGGTGATACCTCTAGAAGTTCTTTTACTGTTCAGGATTATTTTAACAATCCTCAGGTTTTTTGTGTTTCCATATGAAACTGAAAGTCGTCCTTTCAATTTCTGTGAAGGGTTGTGTTGAAATATTGACAGTGATTGTATTGAATTTGTTGATTGCTATGATAGAATGGGCAGTTTTAGTATATGATCCATGAGCATAGGAGATATTTCCATTTTATGATATCTTATTCAATTTATTTCTTCAATGACTTAGAGATTTTATCACAGATTTTTCACCTGCTTGGTTAGAGTGACCCCAAGATGCTTTATATTGTTTAAGGCTGTTGTGAAAGGTGTTGTTTCCCTCAAGTCTTTCTGTATCCTTTTTCAAAAAAAATTATATATAGGAGCACAACTGGTTTTTTTTTTGAGTTAATTTTGTATTCAGCTACTTTGCTGGAAGTGTTTATCAGGTGTAGGAGTTTCCATGTGGAAGTTTTAGAGTCACTTATGCATACTATCATATCATCTACAGATAAAGATAGATGACTTCTTCCCTTCTCATTTATGCTCCCTTTGATATCCTTCAGGTTTCTTATTGATCTACATAAGACTTCAGGTACTATATTGAACAGGCATGAAGATAACAAAACTTTAGTTTTGTTCCTGATTTTAGTGGAAGTGCCTGTCTGTTTATTTACATGGTGGATTACATTTACTGATTTGCATATGTTGAACCATCCCTGCACCTCTGGGATGAATTCTATTAGATTATGGCGGATGAATTTTAGATGTGTTCTTGGATTCAGTTTGCAAATATTTTATTGGGTACTTTTTTATCGATGTTTATAAGGAAATTTTTTTCTCTAATTCTCTTTGTTTTTTGATTCTTTGTGAGGTTTTTCCTATCAATGAAACTGTGGCCTCATTAAATATATTGGACAATGTTCCTTCTGACCCTATTTTGTGAAATAATTTGAGGAGCATCAGTGTTAACTCTTCTCTGAAAGTCTGTTCGAATTCTGTGCTAAAACTATCTGGTTCTGAACTTTTTTTTTCTTCTTGGCACTTTTAGTAACTGCTTCTACTTCACTAGGGGATAGAGGCTCTGTTTAAATTGCTTATCTGATTGTGATTTTTTTTTACAATGTAGATGCTCAACTAATGTTTAATGAAGCTAGAAAAGGGAGCCTTTGCATAAACCACCATATTACAGTTCTCCAGCATTACAAAATGAGATGTTATAGATATCCCTAGAGTAATGCAGACAATAATTTTACTTCAAATATTTGATGTAATATTTAAAGCAGAAAATTGTGCTTTTCTGATTTTTCATGTATTTTTTCATTATTTCATTCCATTGTGTTTTCACAGTCTCCCTTAAGGTATTTATTTACAGTGTTTTCAAGGTATTTGAACATATTCATACTTCCTATTTTGAAAATTTTACCTTGTGCTTCAGCTATATTGAGATTCTCAGAACCTACTGTTGTAGGGTTAATGGATTATAGAGGAAGCATGTTGTCTCAGCTGTTTGTGTGTGTGTGTGTGTGTGTGTGTGTGTGCACGTGCGCGCGAGCGCACTAGTGTCTAGTCATCTGCGTTTGTGATAATTGAGGTGATTCTGGGTGTTGATATCTGGTTTTGTTGTTGTTGACTATTCCATACCTGGGTTTCATTGCCCACTCTGGATTTTAGGAAAGTAGACGGCTGTGGGTTGCCAATTTGAGAGTGCTTCTGCAAGTCAATGAGTGGCATAGAGGAATAGAGGTTTGCTAATTTTAAAAAGGATTAGAAGCGCTGTGAGAAAGAGCTAAGGGGATCCTGTCTTTAGCAAGATTTGCAGTCCCCTGGGAATTGGAAGTGAAGTGGAAGGAGGGGCTCCTGAAAGTACGTTTCACTAAGGTAGAAAACCTGTCTAGGGAGACAGGAGTGAAAGGGCTAGGAGGACTTGGCTTTGTACAAAGAGTTGGAGTCTCCAGTGGAGTGACTTGATGTGGGAGGAAACGTACCTGTAAGCAGACTGCTAAAGGGTTGAAGGTGAGACAGTGAGTATCATAATGAGAATAGGAAGGATAGTGGTAATTGCCCACCTAAGCCCTAGCTCTGTGTGGCCCCTGAGCCTCTATGGTAGAAGGTGTTTCTTGTTATTTGTGGCTGATGTAATGGAATTGGGATAGACTAGAAGGGAGGGAGGGCTGAAACATTCTTTAGAAAGGAGCAAAGCTGGGTCAATACTCTGCCTAAGGTTTGGCAGAATCCCTGTGGAATTGTGGTAGGGTGCCAAAAGGGGCTTCTGCAGGCAGCTGGGTGCTTAGTAATCTTAGTTAGAGTTTTGAAACAGGAGGAATGTTGAAACTCATCAACCTGATGAGATAGCTTTCATCCAAATGTATTTAAAAATTGGATGTCTGGTTCCCAAACAATTTTTACCATTTTGAAATGTTTTCAAAGTCCTAGAATTCTGTTGTTAAAATTACAATAAGGCAGATGCTAATACTCCTAAACAATTGCCTAATATTGGTTTTCATCAATGTATATGATTAATTTTAAAGGGAAATTAAGTTTTTGTTTTAATTTCTAGTTCTTATTTTACATTAGTTATTATGTCTGATCATTGAAACTGAAATCTATAAATTCAAGACACTACAAAAATAATGCATTTGTCAGCATAAACAAAAGTATGTGTGATATCCATAAAATGTTTCCTAAAACTCACTTACTTTGTTTCATCCCTGTTTTCCAATTCTAGGCGATTTGATCGATCAGTTGAAAAATGGAGACACTTTCATTATGATATGAAGGTATTTAATCAATGGCTGAATGAAGTTGAACAGTTTTTCAGAAAGACACAAAATCCTGAAAATTGGGAACATGCGAAATACAAATGGTATCTTAAGGTAAGACTTTTGAGATTTCCTTTTCCATGTTGTCTTTCTTTTTGCAGCAATATTTTGAATATTTAACTACTGTAAGTTCACGTGGAAGAATGAATGGAATACATAACTCCTGACTTTTGTGATGTTCCCTGAACATGCTATAAAAATCAAAATAGCAAGTATGCCAAAAATTGTGCTCTGAATGTTTGTGAAAGGACGAGAGCATCTGCCTAGGCACTACTGGTTCATCTGATGAACTGTGAAATACACCTGTATCTGTGTTGTAGCAAAGCATCTTACAGCAGAGTGTAGTGTGGTTTGTTCTCTCTCTCCCTC